CGGCCAGTTTTTGCGGCCAAAAGTGAATGACCATGGAAAATAAGAGATAAGGGGTACCATGAAATACTTGAGGCTTTTTTTATGCCGCTTCAAAAAAAAATAGAAAGAGGGTCTACCGTGAAATACGATGGAGAATCATAGGTCTGTACGAAATTTTCCTTATATTAGATATGAGTAATGATCCTATAGGACCTCCCCCACCCATGTGTGTAGGACTCCAAAGGATCACCATTAAGGTTGGCACAGATCTCTAAAAAAATTAGCACATGGGTGTGGGACTTGACTTTTCTATAGATCCATGCCAAATTTAATAATGATCATTTGGGATCCTACACATGGATGAGGGACAGTCCTATAAGATCATTTCTCATTAATATATACACGCATTATTTAATATAGCTAAAAATATAATTATATTTATTTAAATATTATTTCAATATTTTATAAAAAATATTATATAATATATTACATTGTAAATATCTAATATAAGAATAAAATATATTATATACTAATAATATAAAGAGAAAAGTTTATATAGAGCTGAGGCTCTAAACAATCAAATTAGAGCGTACCTCAAAAATTTCACTAGAAGATATTGTTTTGATAGATAAATATCCTCAAATTGATCATCTCGACATCAAGATACATGGACATGAGAAAAAAATGGATTTCAAGTTTTGGAAATAGTGTATTTTGTAATGTATTTTTGGCCCGTTAATTTTCAATATTTTCAAGTTTTCATAGATATGTCTATCTACACCATTTTTGAAGCTTTAAACTTTATAAATAAAGATGAAACTATATTTTAAGGCTATCACAAAGATTTTTGGTGTTGAAACCACATTTCTTGACGCTATTTGAAGGTAGGCTCTAATTTGATTGTTTAGAGCTTAGGCTCTATACAGACAGCACCCTAATATAATATTAAGACAATGTCGGCGCTGCACTATCAAACATCCAACTGGCGCTACTCTCTTCTTATCCAATCGGCGTTACTCTCTTCTTATACCACCGGCGTTGCTCCAACCAACGCTGCTCCACCCGGCGTTGCTCCAACCGATGCTACTCTCTTCTTATTCAACCTGCGCTGCTCCAACCGACACTACTCTTTTCTTATCCCACCGTCGCTGCTCCTTAAACACGTACGTCAATGCCTTAGACGAAAATACTCCATACATCTTTCGCAGACGGCAAAAATCCTTACGCCTTCTCACTTGACATTACATCTCTCTTCCCATAGGGCGATACCGGCTTGGGAGAAAATTGTGGCCCTTCTCAAAATAAAAACCTGCAAACCTTATAGCAAGGCTTGTAACTCTGCATAATTAGCAGTCGCAACCCCGCAGTCGCAACCCCATCGGACCAGCATGAGTGAATATAACATTCCCAAAACAGTTGCTCACGCCTCTACCAATACCAGCTACACCTGAATTCCCCAATGAACTTCCATCGAAGTTCAATTTGAAGCTGCTTTGGCAATGAGCTACCGAAATACACCGGGGTCTAACCTTGACAACCACGTTACTCGACATTATTTGAAGGTGTGCTTTATTTTGATTGTTTAGAGCCTCGGCTCTATACAAACCGCACCCATATTTTAACGACATCCACGTGCATTGTACTATGGATATGGTTTCTATGTGGCTAGCCAGCATATTGTAGAAATGCGGGCTTGGCAATATATATATTTTTTAATATAATTTGATCTTAATTTTTTAAAAATATATAATCTTTAATGTAGAGATCATGAATATGAAACAAAAAAAAGAATTTGAAAAGAAAAAATAATAATTATATTAATAAAATATTTGGACCATTAATTTTATGTTTGTAGATGAACACCTATTTGCATCCATCTTTAAGGTGGACACTTTATACCTCTCGTCCGCAAATTGCAGAAATGCGGTCCAACCCGCATGAAACAATTTTCCATGTACTGATACTGTCTCTCTCTCTAGGAATTGGGAAGAGGCACGAGTTCGCTCTGGTTATTGAACAGAGAGATTTTAAATGTACTCACCACTCTTAGTTTGTTCTTTGATTTCTAAAGGAACGGTCTTGGATTAAAAGAACTCCAAGTTCAGAGAAATTTGGCCGTTCTTCCTACTGATCGTAAGTTCCAAGAAATAGCAATCAACTGCTCAACGGACAGTTAAATGGTGGGAGACCCTTGAATGTTACAGGATAGGTATGAAGCTGCTCTTTTCCAACACGCTTCACAAGCGCATCTCTCTTACCTCTTATTTGTTTCAAGCTCCTTGGATTTCCATTGAATTCTCCTCTGCATCTGCTTCACCTGCTTTTCATGACTCAGACTCTCCACCTCTTCATGAATCCCCAAACCCAAAATCCGAAGCCCAAAATTCATATACGCAAGATGCATATACCCAAGATGTCAATTTGTTCATTTCTGCTCTTTTGGCCTGTAAAAGCTTGACCCAAGTTTCTCAGGTTCATGCTCAAGCAGTTGTTACAGGAACTGCAGAGAATTTAACATTGAGTAACAAATTTATCTATATTTATGCACAATGGAGATGCTTACAAGATGCCCGCAAAATTTTCGATCGAATGAATTCAAGGGATGCAGTTTCTTGGAGTGTGATGGTTGGTGGGTATACAAAAGCTGGCGATCATGAGAATTGCCTCAGAATCTTCAGAGAAATTGTGCGCTCTGGCTCAGCTCTCGATAACTACTCAACCCCATCTGCCCTAAGGTCTTGTCGGCATTTGAAGGATCTTCAAATGGGTAGAGAGATACATCACTTGGTTTTGAAGACGGGTCTACAGAGAGATCTATTTGTAAGCGCTGCTCTTGTCGATATGTATGCAAAATGTGGTTCATTAGAAGACGCAAAAAAAGTGTTTGACAAGATGCCCAAAAGAGATTTGGTTTCTTGGACTGTGATGATAATGGCTTATGCTGAGGGTAATCAGGCAAGTGAATCAATGATTTTGTTTGATCGGATGAAAGACGAAGGGGTTTTGCCTGATAAGGTTACTATGGTGACTGTTGCCTTTGCATGTGCAAAATTAGGAGCCATGCATAAGGCCATGGCCATTCATGAGTACATACTGATGAGGAAGTTCTCTTTAGATGTGATACTTGGAACCGCAACGATTGATATGTATGCAAAATGCGGGAGCATTGATATGGCAAGGGACACTTTCGATAGCATGCCTCATAGGAATGTGATATCATGGAGTGCCATGATTGCTGCTTATGGGTATCACGGGCATGGCCATAAAGCTTTGGAACTCTTTCCCATGATGTTACAAATGGGGATTCGACCAAATAGAATCACTTTCTTATCCATTCTATCTGCTTGTAGCCATGCTGGTTTGGTCGATGAGGGTTGGCATTACTTTAATTCTATGAGAATAGATTACTTTGTAGAACCAGATGTAAAGCACTATACGTGCATGGTTGATCTTTTAGGTCGTGCTGGTAAGCTCGAAGAGGCTTGTGATCTTATCGGTGGAATGATCATTGAGCCTGATGAGGGTTTATGGGGTGCCGTCTTGGGTGCTTGTAGAATCCATGGAAATATAGCTTTGGCAGAGGAAGCTGCAAATTGTCTTCTCAATATGGGACCAAGAAATCCGGGTTATTATGTTTTGCTTTCCAATATCTATGCAAAGGCTGGAAGGTGGGAAGACATGGCAAAAATAAGAGAAATGATGGGCAATAGGAAGTTGAAGAAGACACCAGGATGGACATGGATAGAGATAGATAATAAGACCCACCAATTTAGTGTTGGGGACAAGACCCATCCATTGTCTAAAGAGATATATGATAAGTTGCAGAGTTTGGGTGTTGAGATGGAGCGTGTTGGATATGTGCCTGATACTAATTTTGTTCTTCATGATGTGGATGAAGAGATGAAGGTTGGGATTTTGTACACTCATAGTGAGAAATTGGCAATTGCCTATGGTTTGATCAGCACAACCCCAGGAACCACCATTAGGATCATGAAGAACCTTCGGGTTTGTGGTGATTGCCACACATTCACTAAGTTTCTTTCAAAGATTGAGGAGAGAGAAATTATCGTTAGGGATGGAAATCGTTTCCACCATTTTAAGGATGGTTTGTGCTCTTGTGGGGATTATTGGTGAATAGATTTCTATTCTGCTGATACTTTTATTGAGGCTGTGGGCATTGAATTTGGACGTAGTTCTCCTTCAAAACAAATCAGGACCTACAGGCACTGTCTATTATTTTCCATCAGTTATTTATTTTTGGATTGACAAGTGATCAATTGGGTAACCCAAGTTATGGATCGCTTGTCTGATGTCAAAGAAATAAATTGTTCATGATCTTGGCAAAGATAATGTCTTCATACACCAAAGGATATAAATTGTTCAATATATTTTATTCCTTTGAAAGAAACAAATTCGTTAAGAGATAAAGCCAGCACAATAAGCTGGTGGATTGAAGGTCCATGACTTCACCAATACACAAACCCTAGATTCACTCACAACAAGAATCAAAGGACTCAGATCTCTAAGAAGCAAGCCCAGCCTTGAGTTTTTGAATGGTTTGGACATCTGTTTTAAAAGACTTGGCTAGTACATCATCACTTATACCAGTCGTGAAGAGGGTGCTTGGAACTGAAACAGTTCCAGCACTTGCACTCCCAAATGCTGACAAAGCAATAGCTAGGTTCTGCGTATCCGAGTTATATTGGTAGTGAACCAAACCTTTTGGAAAAATAAACATGTCCCCTATTTGAAGCTTTTGTGTATAGAGCTTATTAGTGGTATCAACAAAGCCAACTTCCAAAGAGCCATAAACCAAGAACAAGAGCTCAGCTGATCGGGGATGGGTGTGGAGGGGGTTGATTCCTCCATTTGCATATTCAAGTAACGCAAAGGAAACACTTTGTCCATCTAAAGCGGGAAACTCAGCCTTGCTCACCTTTGTAACTCTGAGAGTGATTGGATCAGATTCATTCTCAAGGCTTCTTAAGCCGGTGAATGTGAAAAAGTTAGCATCTACTGAGTTGGTGTTTCGGGGGAGGATGAAATCAGAAAGGATATCAGGGTCACTGGCTTTCACCATGAGAGCGCCGGCCATGGCCATTGTCATGCACAATATGAACTTGGTGGTGAGAGCCATTGATATTTTGTAAGAAGAGATCTGTGGATTTTTTGGGTTGGGCTTTTAGCATAAATGGTGTTGGTATTTATAGAGGAAGAGTGATTGGGTTGCAGGCCATGGCTGTAACTCACGAGTTTTGTCTAGTAATCCCCTAGCTTTCAACCAGATTGGCTTGCCAGCCTAGCTAGCGCTGTGGCCTTGCGAAACAGTTCTCTGCCTTGCTAACTCAGACTAATCCTTGTGAATCAGAATCTTCAGTTTGGACTATGTATTTGGTTACACTGTTGTTTGGTAAAGTTTTTGGTTTTGATTTCATCTGATTTTTCACAAAGACAATACACATCACTGTTATTAATGACAGTTTGGTTTGGCATGGTTTTGGTCAAAACAGACCCTTATTCAGTCCAGTTTTAATAACATTGGGCAGGACATCTTCTCTAAGGTCACCATGGTTCATCAGTGGCCTTAACTTCACACCCAAGAGAGAGAGGATATCTTTCACTCCAAGCCAAATTAAGCTTCTTGTTCAACTGAATAGAGCCAAAAAGGACATGCCAAAAAGTAGACAAGAACAAGATCTTATCATCCCAATGCCTCTCACCTTGAACAAGACAATACCCAAAGCTTGTTATTCCCAATCTCTGCAGCCGGCCTGTACAAGAAATAGCCTCCTCCTTCCAACCTGTTTTTTTTTTCTCTTTTTTTATTTATTTGTGTTTCTCACCCGAACATATATAAATCCTATCATCCATCCACAATCTTCATCCGGAACTCTACAATTAACCAAGCTCTTGATAGATAGGACCACATATTGATCACTAATGGCCTCTTCTACCATCATGTATGCCTTATGCATGGCAATGGCATGGACATGCACACTCATGGTGGCTAAAGCAGGCGACCCCGACATCCTCACAGATTTCATACTCCCTAAAAATTTAACGTCAGCTAATCCCAACTTCTTCACATTCACAGGCATGCGAAACCTCGAATTTACAAGAACTTTCAAGGTTACAAAAGCCTCTAAAGCAGAGTTCCCGGCTTTAGAGGGACAGAGTGTCTCATACGCAGTGCTCCAATATCCAGCAGGGAGCATAAACCCAGTCCATACTCATCCACGCTCCTCAGAGCTTCTTTTAGTGTTTAGGGGCTCCTTGGAAGTGGGGTTTGTTGACACAACTGGTAAATTATACAGTAAAACTCTACAAAGGGGAGACATGTTTGTTTTCCCTAAGGGCTTAGTGCATTATCAGTATAATGCTAATGACCAACATGCTGTTGCTGTGTCGGCATTTGGGAGTGCAAGTGCAGGGACTGTGTCAGTTCCGAGCACACTATTTGCAAGCCGTATCAGTGATGATGTCCTTGCCAAGTCTTTTAAGACAAATGTTGCAACTGTTAAGAAACTGAAGGCGGGGCTTACGCCACCCAAGGCTTAGGGAGAGTTGGTGATTGAACATGGAATAAGGAGCTGTTAGTTCAAACTTGGGCAAAACAGGCTGTCAATTTGTATTTGTATTTTTAATTCATCGGGATGGTTTTCAATATTCGTTCCTTTAACAATTGTACTCCCCTTTGAAAGATGATTAGTTGTTCTTTATTTGTGCATTCGTGTGAAAAAAAATGAAGGACGCGGTTTCTATGAGTCCATGTAGAAATGAGTCACCTCTTAAAATCTATTTTTTGATAGGTTTTTTGACCTAATTTTAAGGATATGTTATCTCTAACATGGAGGTTATGAATATGAAAAAATAAATAGTTTTGAAAATTAAAAATAATATTTCTATTAAGAACCCTTAATTTCAATTGTTTTTAGATGGATACCTATTTGCATCCATGTTTAAAGACCTCATAATGTAGAAATGCGGTTCAGCCGGCATGAAACAATTTTCTAAAAATGAAATAGATATCAACCTGAAAACAAAATCCCTCGAAAAGGCATGATCTAGCTAAACTGAAGGGTCGTTTGGAAACAAGAAATTTGGTTGCCAAACACAAAATTTATTAAAAACTGTAGCACTTCTCATTTTGGTAATTGAAAATGTTACAGTAAAACGAAGATCGCATTCCGAAAAAATAAAGAATCTAGACTCCACAAACCACATGGAATAGCAAATTGCACAAAAAGCAGAAAATATGGATTTCCAATTTTTGGACTATTCTGTTATTTTTCATAATGTGTACAAAGTTCCTATTATTCTTTTTCCGAAATCAAATCAAGATAAAATTTACAGGTTATGCTTTATACACAATTTTTATAAAAAAAATATAAAAACAAAAAAGTTTATAAAATAGAAAAAATCAAGGTTTCAAGTGAACATTTGTCATTTTGTTTTCAGAAAATATTTTTAATATTTTTCGTAGGTGCGAGTTGTTTAGATGTATAGACTATGCCCAAAATTTTAGATGAATACAAAAAATTGAAAATGGAAATACTCCTAACTCTCCAATCCAAATATGACATTTGAAATCAACAGTTTCTAAGGTGTGATCTACAACGTAGAGTTCTGTCTTTTTCATTCTATTTTTTATTAAAATATTTTATGTTTCTTACAAGGGTGTGGTTAAGGTTGCAACCTTAAAACAATCCAATATGCATCACTAAATTTTCACACAAATATAATTTTGCTGAAAAACATTCTTAGGATGCCTTGAGAATCTATTTTTATCTCTAATTATAAAATTTTGAACTCCAAAAATAATTCAAGTAGATTGTACAAATTTGTAAACATAAGAATCGCACACTCCCAAAATTTTAATTCAATACAACGTTAAGAAATCAAAATAAAATTGTAATACTCGTGACATGTCCTAACCATCCATAAAGACATTACAATTATTACACTTTTTTCAAATTATTTTTCTATAATTTCATGACGGGTACTTGGTGAAAATATAAAAGCCAAAGATGTTAGCTCAATATGAAGAATAGAAAAAATAAAACAATATTAAAATCCTTAAACTTGCCCTCAACTTAACCAATTTATTTCCTGGTAGTATTAAACTTTAGTGGACCTATCATCGACGTGCAATTTTGGTGTCTCATCCAACAAACAGTACCATATCATCTAACAAAAACTTTCAAGAAGGTTAAATTTGCTAATTTTCATATTTAATATAAAAATTTGAACTTAAATCCAAACATAGTTTTCCAAAATCCCCATAGCTCACAGTATTTCTGTTTTGAACTTGATCCAAACATAGTTTTCCAAAATCCCCCCAACTCTATAGTGGTTAACAAAACACAGTATTTTTGTTACCAGATACTCAATTTTCTGCATTCTAGATTTCAGATTTAAATTCTCCAATCCTAATCCCAATGACCCCCCAAGCTTCATCACATTTCCAAGGAAAATTCAAGAAAACAGTCATTGCTTAAACAAAAAATTCTAGGAATAATGTCATACTGATCCAAAAAAACAAAAAAAAGGCCGTAAGGCGTCTTTCAATGTCATCTGCTGCTTGATTGACATCAACCATATCAACCATCAAGTCTGCAAGTGCTCAGCAAATTACAAAACTACTAGCCAGTTCATAATCCTAAAACAGAAGGGAATTGGTAAGTTCTGGGAGAAATTTTGAATGTAAACCAGCCACAACTTAGCAGCTCCAGCTCACTTGATCTTCTTCTTAGGCCTCAACTGCAAAAGAAACATAAAGACTCCGTATTAAAAAGGAAGAACTCACATCAATTTCTATCCTTTTAACATTTCATTCACAAAAATGATCCTTTCAGATAAACTTTTGTTTAATTTATTTGTTTATTCATGTTAAACACCCGACCCTTAACTGCGATCATTTTTGAAAGAGTTTTCGTCCTGATTTGCAAAGGTAAATGACACGATGAAATCATTCATGAGAATATATTCCATAACTCAATTGCTCATAATGGCCAAGACATGTTTCATGCTCCATTTAAGTTGATATAACCAATAACCAAAATTTCCATCCTTTTAAGATATTTTATCCAGCATCAATGGTAAATGGAGAAATCTTACCGATATACAATATTTTATGCCAAAAGATATTATACAACCTTGGAAGTATATTGTCCATTTACTCCCTCAGGGTAAAACCCAACCTAGCATTAGACACCATCCAATATTTAGAGGATGAGATCTAAGTAATAGAAAACTAAATATTATTTTCCAATTTTTTTAAGAATAATCATCTAGTGATTCTTAGGTGGCTGCCAAATTTCGGATTGAAAAATCCTCCCATGTAGGCCATCTAGCAAGGGAGTAGAAGCAAACCATATGCTCGCAAGGGAGCATAATATACATGCTCATATTCTATTACAAGTAATATACATGCTCATATTCTATTACAAGTACCTCTACATCTAATCAAAAGTAGCAGTTAGCCAAGTTTACAATTTTTATGAAACAGATATTTGAGTAAATTAACAACCTATCACCTCACACACAGGTGCACAGTCAGACAAGGCACACATGAGAGGAGAGGGAGAGGGAGAGAGAGAGATAGGCACCTGATTGCTGTGACCACATTTCTTCTTCCTGCAATTAACAGCCCTTGGATGTAAACGAGCATAACACCTGAAACAATAAAAAACAACAAACTTTACCTAACGATACTGAAGTATCTATGTTCCTTACAAACACATTCACTGTGTTTCTGAAACACATTAAAAAAAGAAATGCGACATATATCATGGAACTTATGAAGTTGAATTATCAGAAACTCATATTACACCAAGTGAATGACTAATGGGCAATTTATCGTAAAACATTTGAGGCCCCATGTGCAGGTATTAGGGCTTGAAATCCAAAGGACAGACATGAGAAGATAGTTTTGCTCATTAATCAAGCCCATGGTGCAAACTAGGTGTTTAAATGCCACATAACATTATAAATATTTTCACAAACACAATTTATGAGAAAAGCAAAAAAGAAGAGAAAAAAAAAAAGGTAACAAGCCAAAAATTATTGGTCTATTTGTTGTTTGTTTTCGGATTGTTAGAAATTCTTGGCCTCCATTATTGAAGAAGTGGGGCGCCTGTCGGGCTGAAAAAGCCAGGTCTTGTACTAGGCAGGCAACCTAGGCGCGGGTGCTCCTAGGCACCCAAGGTGCTCGTCTTAAGCACCTAAAGAGCAACTCGATGCACCTTAGAAAGGGGTTGGATAAAGGCCCTCAGCCAATGGTATTTTTTGGATCCCCCCGCCCCCCCCCCCCTTGAAAGAGGGGGAAAGGGTCTTGAGGAGCACTCTATCCTGCCCAAAACCTTTGTGTGAGTTTTAGATGGAGAAAAAATCTTCAAATATTATATTACGAGATCTTTCTCAACATTGACAACAATTTCAACAATTTTTATTTCTTACAAATCAAAAGATATACTTCCTAACACTTTTGGAAGTTGGGGTGATTGCAAAAGAAACTTTTGGCAACCAAGGCCAATGATATCGCCCTATGTTGATTTGATTTTGAAAAGTTGGTGTATTATAATATTTGAATTAGGGTTTTGGTATATTTTGTGTAAAATGTGTTATGATTTGTTATTATTTCCTTTCTGTTTTTGTGATATTTTTACGAGTTATATTTTGATTATTCTCCCATATTCACTAGTGAGTTTTGGCTTGTGTTCTTTTGAAATTTTCTCTAGATTGGGAATTCCAATCATAGGAAAAAGGACACTAATCTCAAACCAAATTGATATTATACGTGATTTTTAGATTGGGAGACCAAATCTTAGGAAAAAATCATTCATCCCAAACCAAATGAATATTATTTGTGCTTGACTTGTTTTAGTTGCATGCTACATGAATACTTAATATTGCTTTGTAAATTGACAACTATTTTTCATTTTATGAGTGCTTTCCATATTTTTTTAGTGGACTTTTCTAGTTTCTCTACTTCATTTAATACTTGAAATTTATTTTCTTGTTTTCTATAGACCTAGAAATAAGTTGTGTCGAATAATGTGATATTGCATATTTTATATTTTTCATCTTATGATTGATTTCCATATTATTTTAGTAGTGTTTACTAGTTTCTTTCTTCATTTAATACTTGAAATTTATTTTCTTTTATTGTACAGACCTAGAGATAAATTGACTTGCTTCATTTAATACTTTGATCATGTGTACTTATTCAGGTTTGTTGGTTAGGTAATACTGTGAGTGGTGGGCTGTGAGTTATGACAATTTGACAATGTATTCAACAAGTTCAAGTAAGCAAACTGATCCGGCCTGGATATAATGAGTCTTGTCCAACTCCTAATGACAGGCATAGGGTAAAGTATCAAATGTATGCCATGTCAAATTCCAACCCCATGATAAAAAATTTAATAGAAGAAAAATTCAGGACAAAAGAATTAAAGGTTCCAGGTGATGTTGCCAAAAGGTTGAAGATTGAGATGGCCACGATTTTACATATCATGAATAGAGAACTAGATGAACAAAATAATTGCATGCAATTAGTTTCCTTGAATCATCTTTCTAATTCTAAACCTAAAGAATCCCCCCCATGAACTTATAAGCAAAATAAAGAAAATTCGTGTAAGAGGACATGCCTGTTGATGTATCATCCATGAAAATCAACTGGAACAAAAATAACCAGCTGACAAAGTTAAAGGATGGATTTGTTATTGGGGATATTTGGTAAATGCTTAGTCACTAATGAAAAATGACTAAGTCCATATTACATCCCCCAACATCGCAAACTCAAATCAACAAGAAGATATTGGGCTCCATTCCCAACATCCACGAAGCACTTTACCAGCAGAACATGACACCATTCAATGTCAAACAAGAATTTCATATCCACATCGGATTGCAAGTTATATCTACCTACAACTTTCTTGTTTAAATAATTGGTGCAAAATCAAGGAGTGTTAAACTTGGGACGCTCACCTTTAGTTGTAAACCATTAACAGCTATAAGTAACACCAATATATGAGCATATAATATATAAAATAAATGAAAGGTAGGAAAAATGGTTGAATAACCCCAAAACCAGCTACAACGTATCATAATCGTTCAGGTAAAAAATGGGTGTCATTCAGCTAAACAAATTATAGCACATAAAACAGCACAATAACATCAACTTGATTTCCATTTTAATAATTCAAATTCCTTATGAGAGACCAAAAAACCAACATGAATCAAAGGTACTCACTTCCGGCAAATCATCTTGTCCTGGTTGTACTTCCTCGCCAAGGCCATCAATGATGGCTCAATGATACCCCCACGAAGCCTTAGAACAAGGTGCAGAGTAGACTCTGCAATCATTTTTCACATTACTAGCATTATAAGAAAATTTAAAATAAACATAAAAATAGACTCGCAATAAAGAAGAATGAAAAAAACGACAAAAAGAAAAACGTAGTAAAATGATGAAAATAACAAAAGGAGGTAGTAAGAGAGATATTGTAATATAGGCTTACCTTTCTGGATGTTATAATCTGCGAGCGTACGACCATCCTCAAGCTGTTTTCCAGCAAAGATCAAGCGCTGCTGGTCCGGAGGAATCCCTGATCATCATAAAGTTTTAGGGTTTTCATATTAACAAGAAGTCCAAAGGCAAAAAATTACGTATTGGAGTTAAAAAACAACTTTCGTTTTTCAAAAAAAAAAGCGAAAAGGTCACAGAGCTAGGTTTACAAACTAGCGCCAGAGATTATGTAAAAGATAAGGTATAGAATCGGCCCAATGGGCGATGAAGATAGAGAGAGAGAGAGAGAGAGAGCACCTTCCTTGTCCTGGATCTTGGCCTTGACATTGTCAATGGTGTCGCTGCTCTCGACCTCTAGGGTTATGGTCTTACCCGTTAGGGTTTTCACAAAGATCTGCATCTTCTCTCTCTCTCTCCAATTCGCTAGAGAGAGAGGCGCCGAGGATGATAAGATTTTATAGTGGAGGGTTTTGCTTTGCAATGCCTACTAAAGACGCTAAACGACCTTGACATTTCCCTAATGACATCATATCCTACACAAATTGAATTCCAAGAATATGCTTTCCTTTTACGTGAAAGCGAAAGTTTAAACAAGGTTGCAACCTTAAAATGGAAAACTACATAGGAAAATTGTTTCGCTTAACCGCATTTCTACATATGCTGTCCGAAAATGTTTAAAATATAGAATTACATAAGAAATTGTTTCATACGGGCTAAACCATATTTCTATATATGCACAGTAGAAAATCTAAAACAAAATCTAAAACATTCATCTTAAAGATGGATGTAAGTAGGTGTTCCATTTAAAACCAATGAAAACTAATCGCCCAAATGTTTTCTTATTAAATTTATTATGTTTAATTTTCAAATTTATTTATTTATTCATATTCATGATCTCCATGTTAGAAATTACATGTCTTCAAAATTTTAGTGTTAAAATCCATCTCAAAAATAGATTTATTAAGAGACCCAGATTTCTACATATGCGGGCTCGGCCTCATAAAAACCGGGTACTAAAATATAGAACTACATATGCACCTCAAATTCCATCATACAAGGTTGTTTGGATGTTGGGAAACCGCCTAATTGATCATCTTAACATCAAGATGCATGAATATATAAAGAAAAAAAGATTTCGAATCTGGGAAACAGTGTATCTTGCAACACATTATCTGGACCATCCATTTTCAAGATTTTCATGTGTTTTTAAATTTACTTGATTTGAACTATTTTTAGAGTTTAAAATTTCATGATTAGATATGAAAATAGATTCTCAAACCATCTTAAGAAATTGTTATATCAAAATTATATTTATGATAAAATTTAGGGGTGCGCCTTAAATGAATTGTTTAAGGTTGCAACCTTATTCAAACCACACCCTTACGTGAATGTCCTTATTATCCCTATTCAGTTTGCCCCAATAGAAAGCTAAAACTTGGTTACTTTAGAAAAGTATAGAATCTGACTAATTGTTTTTTTTTTTATGTATAAGGTGGTCACAATTCATCTTAACTATTAGATGCAAAATTAAGTAGCTACATGTATGTTATTAACCAAGTCCAAAGTTCAAAAGAGCTTTTCTCGCATTTTGTGACATATCCTGATTATCAGATTTCAAATTTGATAGTCATAAGTAATAATGACCTTCTTGAATTAAAAGTAAATAGTCTCATTGTATACAATCTTGTTAGGGGATTGCATACAATGAGACTATTTACCTTTGATAGAAGGTGGTAACAATTCCTTACAATCATTTGATGTGAAATTTGATAGCTTAGATGTATCACAAAGTTTTAGAAAACTTATTTTGAAGTTTCAGCTTAGTCAATGGAAAAATTGCAGCCACTTAATTTCATATCTAGTGGTCAAAATTAATGTGACCAACTTGTATTAAAGTTAAACGATCTCATTCTATATTTTTTTTATTAGATAATTAATAAAGCATTCGGTCTTAGAAAAAGATCTTGGGTGGACACCATTGCAGAATAAAAAATAAGGCATAATCTCTCGACCCTTTTCTATTTCATCTTTCATAATTTTTTATGATTTATATTTTTCCCGCATCAGCAACCTTATAGAGACCTTTTCCTAGTTTTAAGTAGGTAGGTTCTTTCGTAGGTCTCTAAGCTGGGAAGAGTGTAAATGGTTAAGGTCCAAGTCCAAATCCAAACCTAAACCCAAACCCAACCCCGAATCTCTACTAAACCCCGAACCAAAACTAAAAGAATCGAGGGAGGGCCACCCCAATCAAGTCCAGACCCATTCGATGCTGAGATGGACTCGATGGTTGTGGTAAAGTCACGTGAGGGAAAAAAATTAAATTATGAGAATTATTAAAATACAATTAATAAATTACTCATTTTCAATTACTCAAACTCTATGAATTAAATCAAGATAAATAAATAAACTATTTATTAGTTCATCTTTCATAAATCAAGATAAATAAATAAACTATTTATTAGTTCATCTCTTAAATATATATAGTGTTTCAAGACTTGGATTGGTGGTATGGATTGTTTACCCTATAAGTTTGGAAATATATATACTATTTCAAGACTTGGATTGGTGGGATGGATTGTTTACCCTATAAGTTTGGGTTGTATCGTTGGTATACACGATTTGTCCAGATCCATCCAAAACGGTGATCCAAAAAATATTAAAAATAAATAAAATAAAATAGGACCCGGTTTCTATGCGACCAAGCCCGCATATATAGAAATGCGGACCTATTAATAAATCTATTTTTTAGTCAGATTTTTTGACTTAAGTTTTAAGGACATATAATCTCTAACATGGAGATCATGAGTATGAAAAATAAATGAATTTTAAAAATTAGAAACAATAATTATAGTAAGAAAACATTTGGACCGTTAGCTTCTATTGTTTTAAGATGAAACACCTACTTGCATCCATCTTTAAGATGGATGCTTTACACGTTTTGGACCGCATATGTAGTCATGTGGTCCAGCTTGCATGAAACAATTTTATAATAAAATATCATGCCATGGTGTCATTGAAATATAATGAAATCACACTTCTAAAAACCATATTTGTGGCATTAGTTTGGCCCCATATTTTGAACAGACATTCTTTTCATCCTAGTAATCAATCTCAAATAAATAAAACTCAATTTGCATGATAGATATAGTTAAAATCCCTTCCAATAGTGAATCTAGAACATCCATTTAGTAAATTTCAATATCTTGGCATTTACAAATTCAAAATCATTTTCTTTTTTTTAAATATTTTTAATCTAATGATAGCAAACTTCTTTTTTTAATATGTTTAATCTAATGATAGCAAAGCTATCTAAAAAAATTAGAAATGAACAAATTTACTTTAAGGCCTAGTTCTAAACATCTTATTAAAATGAACGGCTTATATTAGTAGGCCAAAAAACATTTTTTAGGGTGTGTTTTGAAATTTTGTATTTTTCCGATTGTTCATTAAAATGAAAAAAATGTATATAAATGGGTCATACAAATGGCACTAGCATAGTTTTTTAATATTGTTTTATTATATCGCTATAGAATCATTGCATAAAAGCACTACCTAAAATAAAAGGGATAGGGGATGCGGGGTTTTAGAGAGGTATCCAAGAGAAAAAAGAAAAAATAATGTAAAAGGAGGTGTTCAGAGGGGGACTAGGCCAAGCCCTATACCATCTTAAAACTGATTCGATCCTTACTAGTTCACCACCTAGATCAGCAATACAAATCATGAATGATCGAGTTTTAAAACACTGCTTAAGTATATTTTGATGAGTAAAATATTAATTAATTCATCTCCTTAGTGTATTTGATATTAACTAGTTCATCTCCTAGGTGTGTTGTGTGTGTGTGCGTGTGTGCTTGTGTGTATGTGTGTTTTCTATGTTCTTGTGGGAGCATTTCTTTTATCACTCTTGGTGATGTAGAAGTATTTTTAGGACCCCAAACTTTAGGAATATAATATATTCAACGTTGGGATCAACCTCACCAAAAGGAATTTAGAAAAACAATCAAGTTTTGGATAATAATATCTATGAGAACTCAAAATCTTTTTCTTTTTTAAATTGGGTGATTCTTAGGTGGCTCTCAAAATTTCACATTGAAAGAACATAGTAAGTAGTTCCCAAAATTTCACAATGAAAGAATCCAACAGAGCAGCTCTTTTACCTAAAAAAAATACCACCTTCCATTTCCCAATATAAAAGAGAAAATTAGTTCTTTTACCTGAAGGAGTAAATGTATAATATGCTATCCTGAAGCGTGCACGCACACACGCATTCACATGCATCCTACCTTAATCTAACTCAATTTGGTTATTTTCGGGTCCACTAAATTCACCTTCTCGTCCACATCCAAACCCGTGTCAAATAGAACCGCTAGCAACCCAACCCACCGTTGGTCAATTCATCCTAACGACAACGGCCATAAAACTAAAACGCAAGAGAATGCTAAAGCCGGACCATAAAAGATAATTTATCTTTTCTTTTTTTGCTATAAAAAAAATACTTTTTTTGAAGAACTACATGACTTTATTAAAGCAAACTAATGATAACGTTGCAATCTTAAACAATCCAATTAAGTAAATCGAAAAAATGGTTAAAAACAAGTATATCTATAAATATATTAAAATCTTGAGAATGTACGGTCAAGATAATGTTTTGCAAGATACATTATTTATGAAACTATATTTTTTTATATATATTCATATATTTCGATACCGAGATGATCAATTAGAAGGTTTTTCAATATTAAAATAACATATTCAAATGGATTTTTTAGGTGCATATTTAATTCTACATTTTAAGTTGCACCTTTATTTCCTATAAAAATAGAGCAAATCTACCATCAAAAGTTACTGGAAGCCGTGACCAAGATACATAAGGATAGAAAAAGTATACAAAGAGACCTCTTACTTTTGAAAAAGTATTTGGTGAGTCAGCCGGCTCATTAATTCTTGTGCAATCTCCCTCTGAAATATTTATTAAAGATGTTTTTATCCGAAAGTTTAGGGTTCGATAATCTCAACCACAACAATGATTTAGATTTGAATTTTTTTTTCGAGAAATACAAATATTATTTTTTTTAATTCCTTTTTCCAACGTTCGTTTTAACTTTTAGTGCATATAACATTTTTTGACATCCACCTTGAAGATGGACGTTTGATACACAAGAGACCACACAGTAATAGGTGAGTCGGCTGACTCACCAAAACCATGTCTTTTACTTGTAGTACAATAAGGTTACAATCAATCTTGTCTATCAAATTTCAAATTGGATGGTTGTATGTATGTCATTAAGGATGCTTAAAGTTTACCAAAAAAAAAAAAATCTTCAATATTACCACACATCTCAAGCCATCTTATTTCACATCTAAAAGTTAGGAGTGTTTGTGGCCTTTTTATATCAGTGGTAAATAGTCACATAAAATACAATCCTATAAAAAAAAAA